CCTGAACTTTTGGACCCGCCTGTCCAAAATGGCCATCGGCTCCTCAAAATATGACAAGTCCTTGTCCAACTGGACTGAGCTGAAATCCAACACATGAGACGGATCGCCGTGATACTTTCGAAGCATATAAACATGGAGTACTGAATGAAGTGCAGCTAGACTAGGTGGTAGTACAAGCCTGTAGGCCACCTCTCCCATCCTCTCAAGAATCTCAAAAGGTCTGATATACCTAGGGCTCAACTTGCCCCTCTTTCCGAACTCATAACACCCTTCATGGGCGAAACCCGGAGCAAGACCCACTCCCCAACCATGAATGCAATGTCGCGAACCTTCCGATCCGCATAACTATTCTGTCTTGATTGGGCTGTACGAAGCCGATCTTGAATCAATTTAACCTTCTCCAAAGCATCCTGAACCAAGTCTGTACCCACTAGCCCAGACTCACCCGGCTCAAACCAACTCACCGGAGACCGACATTGCCTTCTATACAAGGCCTCATACAGAGCCATATGAATGCTCGATTGATAGTTGTTGTAGGCAAACTCTGCAAGCACCAAGAACTGATCCCAAGAACCCCCAAACTCCATCACACACGCACGAAGCATATCCTTCAATATCTGAATAGTGCGCTCGGACTGTTCGTCCGTCTGAGAGTGAAATAATGTGCTCAACTCCACTTGTGTGCCTATCTCATGCTGTACGACCCTCCAGAATCGCGGTGTAAACTGCGTACCCCGATCAGAGATGATAGATACCGGCACACCATGAAGTCTGACAATCTCGCGAATGTAGACTTGAGCCAGCTGCTCTAAAGAACAAGTAGTCACCACTGGAATAAAATGAGCCAACTTGGTCAACCTATCCACAATCACCCATACTGCATCTAACTTCCTCTGAGTCCGTGGGAGCCCAACAACAAAATCCATAGTAATCCACCTGGCTATTGATGCTCATATTTCACCTATTGACAATTTAGGCACCGAGCTACATACTCTACTATGTCCTCCTTCATTCTACTCCACTAATAGTGCTTCCTCAAGTCCTGATACATCTTGGAGGCACCCGGATGAATGAAGTACCGCGAACTGTGAACCTCCTGATAAATCAACTCACGCGATCCATCTATATTGGGTACACATAGTCTACCTTGCATCTATAACACACTGTCATCCCCGATAGTGACTTCCTTGGCATTGCTGTGCTGAACCGTATCCTTGAGGAAAAGTAGTTGGGAGTCGTCATACTGACACTCTCTGATACGATCATATATAGAAGATCGAGAAATCACAAGCCAAAACTCGACTCGGCTCCGTAACATCCAATCTAACAAACTGGTTGGCCAAGGCCTGAACATCCAATGCTAATGGCCTCTCTGCTACCGGTAGATATGCTAAACTGCCCAAGCTCTTCGCCTTACGACTCAAGGCATCGGCCACCACATTGGCCTTTCTGGGATAATACAGAATGGTGATATCATATTCCTTAAGCAACTCTAGCCTTCTTCATTGCCGCAAGTTAAGATCTTTCTATTTGAACAGATGTTGTAGACTCTGGTGGTCGGTATAGACCTCACAAGGGATACCACAAAAATAGTGCCGCCAAACTTCGCAAGGCAAGATAGCTACTAACTCAAGGTCGTGGACAGGATAATTTTTCTCATGCACCTTCAGTTACGCGTAGGCAATCACCCTACCGCCTTGAATCAACTCCGCGCCGAGGCTAACATGTGACGTATCACAATATACAGTGTAAGACCATGAGCCCATAGGCAACACCAAAATAGGGGTTGTAGTCATGACAGTCTTGAGCTTTTGAAAGATATCCTCACGCTCCTCGGTCCACCTGAATGGAGCACCCTTCTAGGTCAATCTTGTCATAAGTGCGGAAATAGATGAGAAAACCCTACGAATCGACGGTAATATCCTGCCAAACCAAGAAAACTCCCGATCTCATTAGCTGAAGACGGTCTAGGCCAACTCTGCACTACTTCAATCTTCTTCGGATCTACCTTGATCCCCTCACTCGACACTACATGACCCAAAAATGCCACCGAATCAAGCCAGAATTCACACTTTGAAAATTTTGTATACAACTTCTTTTCTCTCAAGGTATGGAGCAAGGTCTTTAGGTGCTCATCATGATCCTCCCGGCTCCGGGTGTACACCAAGATGTCGTCAATAAACACAATGATGAATGAGTCAAGATAGGGCTGGAATACACTGTTCATCAAGTGCATGAATGCAACTGGGGCGTTGGTCATCCCAAATGACTTTACACTCGTAATGACCTTACCGAGTCCTAAAGGCAGTCTTCGAAATACCCGGCTCCCGAATATTCAACTGATGATAGCCTGACCGTAAATCAATCTTTGAAAACACTCTAGCACCCTGTAGCTAATAAAAAAGGTCATCAATGCGTGGCAATGGATACCTGTTCTTCACTATAACCTTGTTCAATTATCGATAATCAATACACATGCGCATCGAACCGTCCTTCTTCTTTACAAACAAACCACCCCCAAGGTGATACACCCGGCCGAATGAAACCTTTATCAAGCAACTCTTGCAACTGCTCCTTTAATTCCTTCAACTATGCCGGGGCCATACGATATGGTGGAATAGAAATGGGCTAAGTGCCTAGCAATAGATCAATACCAAAATCGATGTCTCTATCGGGCGGCATGCTCGGAAGATACACTGGAAACACATCCGGATAGTCCCTTACTACCGGAACTGACTCAATGGTAGGAGTATCAATACTGACATCTCTCACAAATGCAAGATATGCCTCACGCTCCTTCCCAACCATCCTCTATGCCTTAAGAAAAGACACCACCCTGCTAGGAACATAATCCAAAATACCCTTACAGTCCAACCGCGACAAATCTGGCATAGCCAACGTCACGGTCTTGGTGTGACAATCAAGAATAGCATGATAGGGTGACAACCAGCCCATGCCCAAAATAACATCAAAATCTATCATATTAAGAACAATAGATCGGCTCTGGTCTCAAAACCATTAAGAACAACTAAACACGACCAATACACACGGTCAACAACAATGGAATCTCCCACAGGCGTGGAAACATAGATGGGAGAAGTCAAAGAATCACGGAATATACCCAAATATGGAACAAAGTGAGATGATACATAGGAATAAGTGGAGCCTTGATCAAATAAGACTGATGCATCTTTATGGCAAACCAGAACAATACATGTGATAACTGTGTCGGATGCAACTGCCTCCGTCCTAGTAGGAGAGCCTAACATCTGGCCTGGCCTCCCCCTCTAAGGCGACCTCTCCCCGCTCTACCACCACCTCTAGCTGGCTGGGCAGGTGGAGTAGCAACTGGTGCGGTAACCATGGCCTGAGAAGATTTAGGACCCTGTGGAATACGCCGAGCCTGAGTAGTCTGTGGAGGTGCACCCCTCCTGATTCTGGGGCACTCCATCACCATATGACGAGTGTCACCATACTCAAAATAAGCTCTCGGAGGATGTGGCTGCTGGAACTGGCTCGGGACTGATCGGTTGGACTGACCGCTGAAAGCACGCCATGCAAGAGGTGCACTAGACAGTGTCAGTGCATAATGGGCAAGCTTGGGAGAGTCCGAAATACCGTAGGAAGCTGGAAGTGCTGAATGAACGGGGCGGCTCACATAGCCCCTACCATGACGAGCTGCCACTAGGGCATGGGCACCACTATATGTTCCAAAAAATCTCGAGGCCTTTTGTCCTCCCTATCCTCTCTCTCTCTCGGGCCCACATACCTTCCATTCTCCTAGCGATCTCCACTACTTGCTAGCATAGGATGTCCATCTCCAACTCTCGAGCCACGCTGAATCTGATACCAGGGTTGAGCCCGTCGATAATCGACGAACTCGCTCTCGGACCGTAACAACCAAGGTTGGTGCATGCCTGGACAAATCACTGAACCAGACTGCATACTCCGATACGGTCATAGCACCCTGGCGCAAGTGCTCAAACTCTATGCGCCATGCATCCCTAAGACTCTAGGGAACAAACTCCCTCATGAACATCTCTAAGAATTGATCCTATGTGAGTGAAGCTGCCTTGGCTAGGCTACCCAACTCATACGCTCGCCACCACTGATAAGCCGCTCCCTTAAGCTATAATGTAGTGAAAGCAACCTCACTCGACTCCACAATACCCACAGTACGGAGGATACTGTTGCACTCCTCAAGAAAACCTTGTGCATCCTCTAAAGCTAAGCCGCTGAAAGTAGGAGGGTGGTACTTCTTGTACCTCTCGAGCCTGATTTGCTCATCCTTAGATACTGCTGCCCTAATCTCGGGCTAAACTGGGATAATCGGTTGCACTGGTATGACCTCTAGGACCTGGTCAACCTGGACCCGCTGCTCTAGGGTAAGGCGGCGAGAGTTTGTGCTCCTCCCCGGCCTGAGATGTGGCAGGAGCATGTGGAATCAACCCCGCCTGAGCTAAAGTGCCGAATATGCTCAAAATTGGGCGAGAGTCCCTAAAGTGCAGGGGTAGTAACAGGTGCATCAGATGTTTTCCCTTCAACTGGAGCTATTGGTGGCTCCTCTGTAGCAGCTCGGGCCGGTGCTCTGGCTGCACCACATGCCCGTCCTCGACCTTTACCTCAGCCCCAGCCTCTCGTGGCTCTAGCAGCGGTCGCGGGTGTCTGATCATCAGATCTAACTGTGCGCGTTCTCACCATCTATGAGAGAATAGAAAGACAGAGATTTAATTTCAAAATCAACCAATTCGCACGATAAGAAATCAAAGAAGTAAAACTTTTCCTAACAGTTCCATAGCCTCTCGAAAATAGACGTCTCTATACCGATCCACGAGACTCTATTAAACTTACTTGTGACTCATAAGACCTATAAAACTAAAGCTTTGATACCAACTTGTCACGATCCCAATTTTCCTCCGTAGGATGTCGTGATAGCACCTACTCTCTAAGACTAAGCAAGCCTAACAACATGAGAATATAACTAAAATGATAATAAACTCTCAAATACTCAACAAATATATAAAATAAACTCCGCTGCTCAACATATACAATTTTCCCAAAACCTGGTGATATCGAGTCACAAGCTCTACAACGACATAATAGTCACCCCTATACAACTGTAACTAGTAAAAGAAGGAATATATAAAAGTAGATAGAGGGTGACTCCAAGGCCTGCGGACGCTGGCAAGTGTACCTTGAAGTCTCCATGTACAAACTCAACTCAATGATGCCTAGACTGGTAGGAGGTACCTGGATCTGCATAAAAAATGTGCAAAAGCATATCATGAGTATACCATAACGGTACCCAGTAAGTGCCAAGCTTAACCTCGGTAAAGTAGTGGCCCTACTGGAATAAATAAGAAAAGAAACTGAACATGTGTAGGGCGGTGTAGTAATGAAAGCAATAAAATTGACACAGCAAATACATATCAAGGATAACTACACGAAACTAAAGCAAATAATGCAACACGGAGAAAAACAAGGAAAGGACATGCTAAGAAAAACAAACAACCGAAGACAAGTGCAGCAATAGAGAATACCAACATGAGTCACTACCGAGGTACCACCTTGTAGTCTTAAATCACAAGAAAAATTCATAATCTTTCCTTATATCACCACGGGAGCCTCACTCTTATCTGAAAAGGTAGGTAGGGGGCTCTCTATCCTAAAGATAAGATTTTTTTCATTCTTAAAAGCCCTCTTTCATAGATAATCGGTAGTATTCCTCTCGCTAGTTATTCTTAGTAAGATGGGGAGGACTTGATGTGACTACTATTAGACCTCCAACCCCGAGAGATTCTGCAATCATTTTTCCGAAATAGCATCACGTTTTAGCCCATCCTATCATACCACATGACTTCTAATAGTTCCCCTACTAGCCACGCGTATCAAGCCCACCTTATCTCACCGCATGGGTTTCAACCCCAAAATCTTATACCACTGTTATACCCCATTTTAATACGGGTCAAACTAGAGTATAACATATTGGTAATTCTGAAGGTTTAATTAATTAAAGAGAGTCGCCACCTAATTAGTTTTAAGGTGAATTAGGACACCAATTATAGCTTAGTAATGCTTAAAGTTAACTCTATTTTATGGTCTGCTTAACTTAAGTTTATGAGTAAGAGTTCTAATTAATCCTATAGGGAAGGTTGTAAAAGCACCCTATATGATCCGTTAATTACAGTTAACTGACCAAACTTAGGTTAATTGATTTTAAAAATTAAGTAGCAATATGTGTGTGTATTTTGAAAAAGTTTGTCGATAAAAAAAAAATACCTGTGTAATAACATTAGGAAGAAAGAAATGAGTCCCCTCGGTATACATTTATAATTGAGAAAGAAAATTACTTTCATGCATATTTCAAATTCGCACGAATAAACAGTTTGGACCTTACCTCTTATATTTTAAGAAAAGCTTTTCCATATGAAACTACAATAAGGGTTTATATCTTTAAAGTAACAATCATTTAAATTTTGAAAGAAATAAACTGATTGTAAGAGAATATCAAATCTGAAATTACTCAAGTAATTAAACCACTAAAAATTAGTTCCTAGAAAGACTTATATGGTTTGCATCATTTACAAAAGAAAACTCCAATTTAGCAATATTGGCAACGAGTCTAACAACTAGCTTTTCGAAAGCGTCAACTTTAACAAAGTAACTTCTAAAAATGTGTTTGAAATATAGTACTAAGCTTACTAGAAAATCAATACTCTAATGGCAAATAAGAAAAAAAAAAAGTTATCAGACTACCGATCTTAGATTCCTCATTCTAATTACCGTATCCTATGTGATATAAGTATAGCAAAGAACCTAAATAATTAAATCCAAACTTGAGATAAAACCCAAATACACAAGTAAATTAATAATCACAAAAAGTTAGATAAAATGAATGGCAAAAAATTAAAAGAAGAAGAACGCCATAGGCGCCCCAAAGCGTTTCGCTTGTTTTCTTGCTATTTGGTGCATTCTAAGGAAGACGGTGTAGGAAGTAATGACTCCATGCTCGGGTAGTGTTGAGTCTCACATTAATACTCGCCATGGCTCCGATGTATTTATGCAAAAAAAAAAAAAAAAAGCAAAGAATGAAAAGAAAATGAGTAGAGTAGGAATTTGATTATGAATTATTGGAGAAGTATAACATACAACCACAGAAGATCATGATAATATTTGTTTATAACTAACTTCAAATATGTTAATATTTCAACAGTAGAACTAAACTATCAACACTCAAACATCAATGGATGTTGCATCTAATTAAAAAATGAAGACTCAAGACGATTTCAAATAAGACTCATACGGCTAGGATAAGAGACATTGAAATAGTACTTTAGATTTTGAGAATAGATGTCTAACCATCATATTTGAGAACTAAACTTGGTTTCATCAATGGGTCTTAAAGCGCATGAAAAGCATTTGTCTAGCTAATGTGATTATTACTGCTGAAAATTGCATAGCTTACTAGTTCTATCTCATGAATCTGTGTTATCAAAACTAATTATTACAACAGAATTACATTCAAGTTAAGAATAGCTTAGGCATGGAAAGGTCATAAATTCATAATTGCTAACATGATGTACCAAAATACAAAATACACATTTAGCTCTCAACTTCGAGAGAAAAATACGACTACTTCTTTAGACAAACATAGATCTCTTAACTTCAGTAATGAAACCTTAAGATATGGTATTGATGCAATAGTAGATCTACATATATTATCTACTCAAGACGGTAGTGAGGTATGCTAGCAGTCATTGTTAATCAACCATTAGACTCAAACACCTAAACAAACTGTTAAATTAAGCTAGATAATGACATCACATTGATCAAGAACCAACACTGCTATACAAACGCAGAATGATCACATAAGCTTTTTTATTTAATGGTCATTTATCACTCAGTTACATGGAAACCATAGATTCCCATAGTCATGGCATCTAAACGCACGGGATCAGAGAAGCAAATCAACACCTTTTAAACTACATTACAGAGCATAAATTATTTGGAACAAACAAAAGCAAGTGAAAGAAAGAACACTGACTTGTTTGGGAGCAGTGAACTGGGTCGGTGGTGGTCTCGAATCTACTCTCTCGTTATGAAAAGATTCGAACCTCGATCGGAATGATCTGTCACGGTCAAAGTTCACCGAAAAGATTTAGATTTTTTTTTTGAGACAATAACAGTGGTGAAGAGAAGAAGAGTAGTGTTTTTAGGGTGTGGAGCAGCGGCTCAGTTGAGTGATGTAGGTGACTAAAAAATCTCGAATTCTCAGGAAATGGTTGCCGCTCGCCTCTTTTTCCCTCCCCTCACGGTTGTGACCTTTAGAAAGTATTTATAGGTGGAGAGATTTAGAGTTAGGATTTTTCAAATTTCAAAAGGGAAGAAGTCACGGGTGTGGCTTTGATTTCTGAAAATTTAGCCGTTTGAAATTGAATATCTGTCTTGGTGATTTGCTTCAGATTTTTTCTTGATGTAGTGAGATTTGGTCTGAAACAAAAGGGATTCCACGTCCTTTTAGACTTAGAAAGGAAAAACGACATTAGAATACCAAGGCAACCCAAAAGGAAGGACGATCTTAGCTCAAAATAGGCATACACCTTCTGACCATGGTGAAGAAAAGCTGATTTTAGCATAAAAATAGAAGAGACAAGGAGAAAGGTGTATAGCAGTAAAAATAGCACAGTCTAGCCAGTTTTTGGACTGGTCATTCAAAAATAGCCAGTATTTACTAATTCAATGAAAAATAGCCACTATTTTGCTGCAACAGAGACCGGTCCAGCATAATATACTAGAGTTCGGTGCACCTGTGTATGAACTTCCAGCATATTATGCTGGAACTCCAACACACGGACAGTTCCAGCATAATATACTGGAGATTCGAGCACTTGTGTATGAACTTCCAGCATATTATACTGGACCGGTATACTTTGCTGGAACTCCAGTATATTTTGCTGGAGTTCTAGTGTACTTATGCTGGAACTCCATCATATTATGCTGGAGTTCCAGCATACTTATCCTAGAACTCCGGTATAATATGCTGGAGTTCAAGTATACTTATGCTGGAACTCCAGCATAATATACTGACGTATTTTCCGGGTTTTGAACAGTGTTTTCGCTCAGATTTATCTTTACATGAAAAGTGAGTAAATTTCGATTACTTTTGAAACTGGGCTATTTTTGAACGACTCTGGCTATTTTTGAATTCTCCCTGTATAGCAGTGCCTAGGAGAGATGAGAGAAAACCTAATTGTTTTTTGTTTGGGTTCTTCGGTCTTGTGGCGTTTGGGCCATGGTTTTAAGCAGCATATTTTGGGCTACAAGCTGGCAGAAAATATTAGGCCATTGACAATCTCCCTCTTCCTATATTCTTGGGCTTCTAAATGGAATAACATTGTTATAAGTTAATTAGTATTGAGAAACTTTCAGAAACCACTATGTTTTAGTGGTTATTAGCTAGTTGTAGCTACCATATATATATTACTTCCTATAGCTATGTTTTTAGATTTTTTAGAGTGTATTCGATGTTTTTAAGCTACTGTATTCATGAATACAGTAACATTTCTAGGCGTGAAACAGGGGATTACAGCTCGACAGATTTTTGTATTCGAGTGTATTCGACTGTATTCATGGCATAAAACATGGGATTACAGCTGGACAGATTATTGTATTCGACTGTATTCACAGCGTGAAACAGGGGATTACACTGTTTTTAAACGGAAAGTGAATCAATTAACATAATAGACTCCTAATATAACTCAACAAACTCAATTATAACATACAAATTTTGTATTTCCAGTTATAAAAAAGATTCTCAACCGAAAAACACCCCTAAAACATAGCAATCTTCAGAGAAATTATATAATACATCTGAATACATAAATTATATTAATTAAAAACGAACATATGAATACATTCATGGAATATAGCGAGACAGTGAATACAATGAAATACATAAAATACAGCGGGATACATTGAAAATACAATGGAAAAAAAGGTAATGAATACAATGAAATACATAGAATACAGCGAGATGCATTGAAATACAATGGAAAAAAAGATAATGAATACAATAAAATATAGCGAGATACATTGAAATATATTAACAAAAAATTCAAGTTGCTCGGCCCCCAACTCTGTCGTCTTTGTTCAAGAACAACCCTAATGTCGTCTCGTTGAAGCAACATCAGTATCCAGTCCTCGCTCGCCGTCACTGTTGCCTCCGGTCGCCGACGATCCAACGCCGCCTTTAATTCCAACTGCTGTTGCATCGGAGATCGTACGTGATCGAAGTTTCCATGGAGGTAATGAGCACAAAGCAAAATTACCACCCATGAAATTCACTCTCCAAAATTTACACTCTCAAAATGAACTCTGCTTTCTAATATTTTGTTAACGTATATATCATTGACAAATTGCTTCCGATTTGCTTATTAGATAAGGATTTGAACTTTCCAGCTAAAATCGTACTAATTTCGTATTTTCTTGTAGTATATAGATCTTAAAACACAATTGAGATATTTCAAAAAGGAGAGGATGTGTGATCGGGAAGAAGAGAGAGAGGGGGAGAATAGATATGGGGTAGGGGATAGGAGAAATTTGAGGGGATATGAGAGAGAAAAATAATACAAAGCTTATTTTATGGCTCAAGGGTAGGAGGTGACCATAAATAGATATTTGGCTATAAAAAATCAAAAGGTAGCTATGGAATATAATTTTTTAAAAGGGTATTTATTTAAAATAAATAAGGTATCAACCTTTGCTATATGAGGTAACTAATCCATTAGTATTTAATAGCCTTAACAAAATTATAATTTATAGCAACTTAATAAAATAGTTATGAGATACCATAAAATAACTATTGCATGAAATGCCATAATATTATTATAGTAAACTTTTTATAAAATGTGAGATGAAAGAAATATTTTTATCTCTCCTTAATAAAAAAAAGTTATATTTTCCCAAAAATGACAATAAGAATTATACTAAAAAATGATGATGATGATGATGATGATGATGATTGTGACAATAATAACGATATAAAGAATAATATTAGTAGTAATAATAGTTATAATAATGACGCTAATAATAGTACTAATAGTAATTGTGATAAGATAACAATAATAATAATAGTAATAATAATAATAATAATAATAATAATAACAACAACAACAACAACAACAACAATAATAGTAGTAGTAAATGTCAAAAAATAAAGTATTTTATGTAATAATAATTTAGAAGCTCAAGGAAATTAATTGGAAGAAAGAAAAGACAAAATTGGATGTCAACAACCACCGCATGTGTATTAATATCACAACGTATCAAAAATCGCATCTCAAGTTCCCAATATCACAATCTTGCCAAGAAACCAACAACAATAGTATTTTCACAACAAGTAGTCCATAACTCAACCACAAGGTGTACAAAAGTATCAACAATGACAACTGGAAATGTATAACACAACAAGAACGGTATTTCACAACTTAACACTTTGCCTCAATGCGAATCACGACCCTTATAACTTAATACCAATTTCAACAACAAGATATACCAAGAATAACAACTTCAAGTAAAGAATTTAACGGTTAAATCATGAATATGGAATAAAGGAAACAAGAACTTCAACTAAACATGTAGAGCAATTAGCAAGTAAGAGATAAGGCAAGTAGAATATGTGAAATTAGATTAGTGATAATGGATATGGCATGTTAAGTTAACTCAATTAAGGCATGAAAGGATTCTACATAGCTAAAACCGGTAAATTTCCATATTTAGCCCGTGTATACACTCGTCACCTTGCGTACACGGCTTCCACACATCACAATTATCACAAAACAACACCAATCCTAACGGGTAATTCCCCCACACAAAGTTAGGCAAGACACTTACCTCAAAACTCGCTAACTCAATCCACTTGTAGGCCTTTCCCTCGATTATCCAACTTCGAACAGCTCAAATCTAGCCAAAACAACTTAATGCCATAAATATAAACTATACAAAATTAATTTGAGTAATAAAGTTACGATCTTTGCAAAGAAATAAAAAGTCAACACAATAAGTCAACCCGGGTCCGCGTCTCGGAATCCGACTAAAATTATAAAATTGGAACACCCATTCGATAACGAGTCCAACCATACAACAATTACTCAAATTCGACCTCAAATCGCCTTTCAAAACTCAAAACTTTAGTTTAGGAAGTTGTCACAATTTTTCCCCAAATTTCCAACTCAAATCCCTAATTAGATGATAAAAATAGCAATAGATGCATGGAATATGGTCTATTCCGGGATAGATTCACTTACCCCAACAAATTCCTTGTAGAAACCTCGAAAACCGCCTCACACCGAGCTCTCTAGGTCCAAAATATGAAAAATGAGATGAACCCTCGTTTTTGAACTTTAAATTATGCCCAGGTGTTAATCTTCTTTGCGATCGCGGGAATTGCTTTGCGATCGCGAAGCACAAATGAACAGGCTGCCAAATAACACTTCGCGAACGCGAAAGTCCATGCGCAGACACGACACACTGCCTCCACAAGCTAAGCGATCGCGGAACACTTCATGCGATCGTGATGAAAAAAAACGCGTAGACCTGCAGCCTCATCTTCCTTCTTCGCGGACGCGACCTCCTTCACGCGTTCGCGATGCACTGAAATCCAACCCTCCATGACCGCAAACCTCTTCTCTCAATCGCATATAACAAATTTCCCCCAGTTCCAAATAACTCTTCGCTATCGCGACAACCCACTCGCGATCGCGTATAAGGAAACTAGTAGCCGCAGATTCAACAGTCTTCAAGGTTCCAAAATGCGCCGAACTTGATCCGAATTACACCTGAGACCCTCGGGACCTCAACCAAACTTACCAACAAGTCCTAAAATATCATACAAACACGCTCGACGCGTCAAATCACATCAAACAATACTAGAACCACGAATCGTGCATCTATTCAAGACTAAGGAACTTATGAACTTCAAATTTTCAAAACTAGTGCCCGTTCATACCAAAATAACCCCGATTGACTTCAAATTTTGCACACCAGTCATAAATAACATGACGGACCTATTTCAATTTTTGAAATCGGAATCCTACCCCGACATCAATAAAGTCAACTCCAGGTCAAACGTTCAAACCTTTCAAATCTTCAACTTTCTAACTTTCGCCAATTCACGTCGAGACGACCTACGGACCTCCAAATCAACATCCGGACACACTCTTAAGTCTAAAATTACCATATGGAGCTATTGGAATCATCAAAACTCCATTCCGCAGTCATCTACACAAAAGTCAAACTACGGTCAACTCTTAAAACTTAAACCTCCAACTTAGGGACCATGTGTCCCATTTCACTCCGAAACTCACCCAAAACCAAAACCAAAACCAAACATCCAGGCAAGTTACATAACCATAATATAACATAGATGAGGCAATAAATAGGGGATCGGGGCTAAAATACTCAAAACGACCGATAGGGTCGTTACATAGAGGTAGACCAAAAACTATTGGGAAGAGGTGATTAGGCAAAACATGGTGCAACTTAAGCTTACCGAGGACATGACCATTGATAGGAATGTGTGGAAGCTGGGGATTAGAGTAGAGTATTAGTATGTAGTCG